AAAAAAAAAAAAAAAAAAAAAAGGAAGAATAAATATTTCTCACACATACCCATTGATTTTCTTTTCCTAACTCATAATATGTCGTAGTTTGTAAAATGGTGCATAAGAGTATCTGTTTCATGAGAACTGAGTCTTTGCAGTATCAGGTGAGTCTGTAGGAGACCACCCTCAAATACTTGTCACGAATGTGAATCACTTGCTCTGCAAGTTCCTAGAGTGACTGACTGATTGTTGGCTTTCTCTGCTTGTCACAATATTGCTCTCAGAAGTCCGTGTACTTGCCTCCCAACACGCAGTAAGACCACTTCTCTTTCTTACCACAAGTGTCTTTCTTTCCTTTTCAGAATATGCCGAATTTTTGCACTGCAAGTCCAAAAAGTTTACAGACTTTGATGAAGTCCGGCAGGAGATTGAGGCGGAGACTGACAGAGTCACGGGGACCAACAAAGGCATCTCCCCCGTACCCATCAACCTACGGGTCTACTCACCACATGGTAGGAACTGCAGGCTGGGGGCTGTCACTGACTCTCTGCCAGGCACAGGTAGCCTCTGCCCACCCACAAACAGTAGGCTACCTCCCATTGTCTTTCACTCCTTCATATACACATGACATCCGTATTTGCCCACATGTGATAGGTGCATAGTACACAAACACTCTGTCACGGTTTTACAAAGCTGCAGCATGCCAGAGAGACTGTTGGGAATGGTGAGAACTTGGGCAGATTGCAGCTATATTCACTCCTTTTCATTTGTATTTATTTACCTATTTTTTGAGTGAGACTCTGTCACCCTGGGTAGAGTGCCATGGCATCATAGCTTAAGCAACTTCTAACTCTTGGGCTCAAGTGATCCGCCTGCCTCAGTCTCCTGAGTAGCTGGGACTATAAAGCCCGGCTAGTTTTTAGTAGAGACAGGGTCTCACTCTTATTTTTATTTATTATTATTATTTTTTGAGACAGCATCTCACTGTGCCACTGTCTGTAGTAGAGTCACAGATCACAGCAACCTCAGATTCTTGGGCTTACATGATTCTCTTACCTCAGCCTCCCAAATAGCTGGGACCACAGGCACCTGCCACAACACCCAGCCGTTTGTTTGTTTGTTTGCAGTAGTCATTGTTGTTCAGCAGGTCTGGGCCAGGCTTGAACCCGCCACCTTCAGTGTATGTGGCTGGTGCCCTACTCACTGAGCTATAGGCACCGAGCCCAGGGTCTCACTCTTGCTCAGGCTGCTCTTGAACTCCCGAGCTCAAGGGATCCTCATGCCTCAGCCTTCTAGAGTGCTGGGATTTCAGGTGGGAGCCACCTTGCCTGTCTCTTGTGATGAGTTTTAAAATTGATTTTGGAATAAATAATGCCTGCATGTAGTTCAAAGTTCGAAATATCCAGGAGAGTACAGACAGTCCTCAGGTTACGAATAAGATAGTTTCCATACGATTTTTGTTTGTTTGCTTGCTTTTTAATTGAGACAGAGTCACCCTCTGTAGAGTACTGTGATGTCATAGCTCACAGCAACCTCAAATGCTTGGGATCAAGTGATTCTCTTGCCAGGTAGCTGGGATTACAGGTGCCTGCCTGCCACAACATCCAGCTATTTTTTTGTGGTAGTTGTCATTGTTGTTTAGCCTGCTGGGGCAGAGTTTGAACCCACCAGCATTGGTGTATGTGGCTGGCACCCTAATCACTGTGTTATAGGCACTGAGCCAGTTCCATAGGTCTGTTCTTAAGTTGAATTTGTATGTTAGTTGGAATAGGTACATTTGGAATAGGTACATTACATTTACATATTAACTGAAATAGCCTTTTTTTAAGTGTGAGCTGTCAGTTGGATGTTTATAACTCATGGACTAACTGTAATACCCTCAGTTAGTAAGTGTGAGTTGTTTGTAACTGAGGTACTCCCTGTATACAGCAACAACCTACTCTGCCACGTATATATATATATACACACATATATATATATTTTTAGGAGACAGTGTCTCAAGCTGTCTCCCTGGGTAGAGTGCTGTGGCATCATAGCTCACAGGAACCTCAAACTCTTGGGCATAAGCAATTCTTTTGCCTTAGCCTCCCAAGTAGCTGCGACTACAGGTTCCCACCACAATGCCTATGTATTTTTTGGTGGTTGTAGTTATCATTGTTTGACAGGCCCAGGATTAAAACCTGCCAGCTTTGGTGTATGTGGCTGACACCCTAGCTCCTGAGCTACAGGCGCCGATCCTGCCATTTATATTTTTATTGCATAATATATATATATATTTTTTGAGACAGAGTCTCACTATGTCACCCTCAGTAGAGTGCTGTGGCGTCACAGCTCACAGCAACCTCAAACTCTTGGGGTGATTCTTTTGCCTCAGCCTCCCAAGTAGCTGGGACTACAGGCACCTGCCACAACTCCCAGCTATGTTTTTGTTAAGACTTGTTTAGGTGGCCCAGGGTAGGTTCAAACATGTCACCTTCCATGTATGTGGCTGATGCTGTAACCACGGTGCTACGGGCACCGAGCTTATTGCATATTATTTCATGTTCATCTGATGATGATGCATATATACATGTATATTATATATGTATTTACCATCACTTTTACTCAAATTGTGGCATAAATAAAAATTACATATGTTTTCTTTTTATTTGAGTACAGCTCAGAATGTTTCTTGTCATAGTGTCCTCTCTTTGTTTCCAGTAGTTCCTTGGTTTTGGCTAAATTGAAAGACAGCAATTTATTAAGTCATTTAGATTGATTCCAGTGTGTATATGTCCTGATTTAAAACTATATTACTGGCCAGGCACAGTGGCTCACACCTGTAATCTTAACAACTAGGGAAGCTGAGGCAGGAGGATTCTTTGAGACCAGGAGCTCAAGACCACCTTGGGCAACATAGCAAGATCCTATCTCTAACAAAAGTTTGAAAAATTAGGCAGGTGTGGTGTTACACACCTATAGTCCCAGCTACGTGAGAGGTTGAGGCAAGAGGACCACATGAGCCCAGGAGTTGGAGGTTGCACCGAACTATGATGATGCTACTGTACTTACTCCAGCCTGAGTGACAGAATGAGACCTCATCTCTTAAAAACAAACAAATAAAAACGATCACTGGAGTAGATTTGGTTCAGGGTGTCAAGGTGGAGTTCCAGAAAGAGAGATAATAGATTAAAGGTATAGTCCAGGCAGAGTGCTGGGCCCCACCCTGAGGTCTGATCCTCAAGGAACATGGGTGAGGAAATGAATTGCTGCAGGACTGTGTGTCTCTCCCTTCCCCCAGCTCTGATGACCTTTTTCTCTGGTTTCCCTTCCAGTGTTGAACTTGACCCTCATTGACCTCCCAGGCATCACCAAGGTGCCTGTGGGGGACCAGCCCCCAGACATCGAGTACCAGATCAAGGACATGATCCTGCAGTTCATCAGCCGAGAGAACACCCTGATCCTGGCTGTCACGCCTGCCAACATGGACTTGGCCAATTCAGATGCTCTCAAACTAGCCAAGGAGGTTGATCCACAAGGTAACCACAGAGCCCCAGTGCCCTCTTTCAGGCACATCTGAGCAGAGGACTTGCCCAGAATCCTTGATTTTGAGTCACTGGTGTTCTCTTTGTGCATGACCACTTTAAGAATAGGCCTCATTTCCTGTGGGAGCCAGTGAACAGGCGTGTGGTTATCAGAGAGGCTGACGTTTAGCCCTGGGCAGTGGATGACCCATAGGCGTGAGGCTTCTCCTATGAGGATATCCTTAACTCTGGATGACTAGGGAAGAAGGAGAGTTGGATAGTGATTTCCAGTAGAATTTTAGCCATTTGGGTGAGTGGTAGCCCTGGAAACAGTCACCTCCAGTTCAAATATTGCATTGGGACATTGCACAAAACTTGGAGAGTACACCATCAAAGCTGCCTCGGAATTTGTGTTTCCAAGAGGTTGCCCCTGACAATATCAGATGTTTCTACTGGTGACATGATGACAGTAGTGGCCAGTGTTCATTATTGAGCACTTGCCATGGACCAAGTTCATCCTCACAGACAACTCTCTGATACACGTTATCGTCCTTGTCACTGTCTTCATTTGACATGTGGGAAATTGGGCACCAAGCAGGTGACACTGTAGTGTGGCCCGGGTTGCCCGGCCTGGAAGTGGCAGGGCGATTGGACCCTGAATGGCCTGTGCTCCTGGGCTCATGGCACCCTCTGACCTCTGGGCTCTTTCAGGTCTGCGGACCATCGGTGTTATTACCAAGCTTGACCTGATGGATGAAGGCACCGATGCCAGGGACATCCTGGAGAACAAGTTGCTCCCCTTGAGAAGAGGTGTGGCTTTGGGCACATGGGGGTGGGAACCGTGTGCTTGGGAGGCAGGAAGGACAGGCTGGGGTCCAGCAGCATGTTATTGTTGTTAGTGCAACCTTGGTGGATGCTGGAAGGCACTCACAGGCATGTTCTCCATCACCTGTTTCCCAGCTGCTGAGAAGTGACTGCTTCTACATGTCATCATAAACTCTTCTACCTCTTTTTTCCCTTTTAACACATGCTTTTTTTTTCTGATTTGTATATATTTGTTCTGCAAGTACACAGTTAACACCTGCTGATTTCTGGAACAATAAAAACATGTATATAAAAAGAGGAAACTAAATTTGACCTGCAACCATACTTCTTCCAGATAGCTACTAGTTAGTTAATCCTTTTTTTTTGAGACAGAGCCTCAAGCTGTCCCCCTAGGTAGACTATCGTGGCATCACAGCTCACAGCAACTTCCAACTCCTGGGCTCAAGCGAGTCTCCTGCCTCAGCCTCCCAAGTAGCTGGGACCACAGGCATCTGCCACAGTGCCTGGCTATTTTTTGGTTGCAGCCATCATTATTGTTTTTGGCGGGCCCGTGCTGGATTCAAACCCACCACCTTAGGTGTATGTGGCTGGCGCCTTAGCCACTTGAGCCACAGGCGCCGAGCCTAGTTAGTTAATCCTTTGTGACTGTCCTTTCATACAGCTCCCTGGGATTTGTAACATTTATTCATATTTTTATTACTTCCTATTATGAACACTTGCAAACTTTCCCCAATGTAAAGAGAATAAATATGGTTATTAATATGCAGCTAATATTAAAGGTGCTGAATATATTCACCTGTAGTGGTTGTTTCTTCCTGAGGGATAGCATATCCTAGGCACTGTTAGCAGTTTACACATAATTAGCTTCGTTTCTTTTCAGATGCTTCTCCTTCATGTCCCCTTTGTTTTGCCTATATCATTTATTTATGGAAAAGACTAGATCTTGTCCCACATTCAGGATTTGGCCAATTCTCATTCCCTGTAAACCAGTAATTCAGATCTAGACAGGAGTAATTAGATTCAGGTTCTCTAATTGTTGGCATATCCTAAGTGTTTTTTTTTTTTTTTAAGTCTTAATTTCTCGCCCTTGGTAGAGTGTTATGGAGTCACAGCTCACATCAACCTCCAACTCCTGGGCTTAGGCACTTCTCTTGCCCTACCCTCCTGAGTATCTGGGACTATAGGCACCTGCCAGAACACCTGGCTATTTTGTTGTTGTTGTTGTTGTTGCAGTTTGGCTGGGGTTGGGTTCAAACCTGCCACCCTCAGTATAATGGGGTTGGCGCCCTACCCACTGAGCAACAGGCACCGCCCATCCTAAGTGTTTTTATTTAGTTTATTTTTAAAATACTTAAAACATTTTAACTGCATGTGGTTGCTAGATCTGTAATCCCAACACTCTGGGAGGCTGAGGCTGGTGCATTGCTTGAGCTCAGGAGTTCAAGATCAGCCTGAGCAAGAGTGAGACCCCTGTCCTATACTAAAAGTAGAAAAAAATAACCTGGTGTTGTGACAGGTGCCTGTATTCCCAGCTCCTCAGGAGGCTAAAGCAAGAGGATCCCTTGAGGCTTGACACCTGTAGCTTAGTGGTTAGGGCGCTGGCCACATACACCAAGTCAGGTGGGTTTGAACCCAGCCCAGGCCTGCTAAACAACAATGACAATTACAATTAAAAATAGCCAGGCATTGTGGCAGATGCCTGTAGTCCCAGCTGCTTGGGAGGCTGAGGTAAGAGATTCGCTTAAGTCCAAGAGTTAGAGGTTGCTGTGAGCTGTGATGCTACAGCACTCTACCAAGGGTGACACAGTGAGACTCTGTCTCAGAAAGAAAAAAAAAAAAGAGGATCCCTTGAGCCCAGGAGTTTGAGGTTGCTGTGAGCTATGATGCCATGGCACACTGGTTGAAAATCACTGATCTAGCTGTTTGTTTTTTTAAAAGTCATTCCTGCTGCCTGTGATCTGCTCTTAGGTGTGTGGGCACCTTTATGCTATGCCACCATCATTTAGACATTTTCTTTTGCTCTTAGGATTTTTTTCTCTTTTCTTTCTTTTCTTCTTCTTCTTCTTCTTCTTTTTTTTTTTTGTGACAGTTTCACTTTATTGTCCTTGGTAGAGTGCTATAGCGTCACAGCTCACAGCAACCTCCAACTCCTGGGCTTAGGTGATTCTTTTGCCTCAGCCTCCCGAGTAGCTGGGACTACAGGCGGCCGCCACAATGCCTGGCTATTTTTTGTTGCAGTTTTGCTGGGGCCCGGTTGGAACCCACCACCCATATATGGGATCCGTGCCCTACTCACTGAGCCACAGGTGCTACCCTCATTCTTTTTTTTTTTAAAGACAGAGTCTTACAGGTGGCACCTGTGGCTCAGTGGGTAAGGTGCTGGCCGCATATACCGAGGGTGGTGGGTTCAAACCCGGCCCCAGCCAAACTGCAACAACAAAATAGCCAGGCGTTGTAGAGGGTGCCTGTAGTCCCAGATACTCGGGAGGCTGAGGCAAGAGAATCACCTGAGCCCAAGGAGTTGAAGGTTGCTGTGAGCTGTGACACCACGTCACTCTACCAAGGGTTAATAAGTCAAACTCTGTCTCAAAAAAAAAGAAAGAAAAGAAAAAGACAGAGTCATACTCTGTCGCCCCTCTTAGATTGCCCCTGGTATCATAATAGCTCACCGCAATCTCAAACTCCTGGGCTCAAGCAATTCCCTTGCCTCAGTCTCTCTAGTAGCTGGGACTACAGGTGCCCACCACAACACCTGGCTAATTTTTCTATTTTTAGCAGAGATGAGTTCTGGCTCTTGCTCAGGCTGGTCTCGAACTCCTGAGCTCAGGTGAGACCAGCCACCTTGGCCTCCTAGAGTGCTTGGATTACAGGTGTAAGTCACCTACCCGGCTAATGAAAAACTATTTTTTAGAATACTTTACTGTTTAAGATATATTAGCTTTATAGTAGGTTTAAGCAAATTCAACTATTCCCCATTGCTTTTGTTTTTGAGATTTTTTTCTTACCTGTCTTTGAAGCTCAGCTTGTAGACTTCTTCTATAAAGATTTTCTCATTGCATAGGCTGGTTGTGATCTCTTTTTCCTCTAGGCACTTACCTTGGGTTTTTTGTGGCCGCTTCTGCTGTGTTTATATCCACTGTATTCTTCCTGAATAACGTGCTATGACCCAATCTATGAGTGACTCGTGGGACAGGATCCTTTCCTACAACTGTATTTACCCAGTCCTGTGCCAAGTATACTTGGCCCACATGGCATTGCCCTTTCCCTGACTCCCCTCCCCCCACAGGCTACATTGGTGTGGTGAACCGCAGCCAGAAGGACATTGAGGGCAAGAAGGACATCCGTGCAGCACTGGGGGCTGAGAGAAAATTCTTCCTCTCCCACCCGGCCTACCGGCACATAGCCGACCGAATGGGTACCCCACATTTGCAGAAGTCCCTCAACCAGGTATGGCAAAGGTTTTGGGCTCTTGTGTGCAGTGGCACAGACTGTGCACTACTCAAGAGCTATGATTCAAATTGGCATTTGCCTGAGGCTAGTATAGCAGTCATAGCAAAATGGGCTCAGTGCATATTTATTTCTGCTGTAATAAATGCATTTGATTCAGGGCCTGGTGAGGAATGGATGGTTGGTTGGTCCTGCTAATATTAATAATCATCAATAATCATCATTGTTATTATCACTGTTTTTTTATTTTATTTTTTAAATACATATTCTCACCCTATTCCCCAGGATAGTGTCCAGAGAGTGCAGTGGCATGATCATAGCTCACTACAACCTCAATCTCCTGGGCTTATGTGATCTGTCTGCCTCAGTCTCCCAAGTACCTGGGACTACAGGTGTGCACCACAATGCCCAGCTAAGTTTTCCTTATTTTCTTTAGAGAGGAGGTCTTGCAATTTTGCCCAGGTTTGTCTCTAACTCCTCGCGTCATTGTATCTTCCCATCTCAGCCACCCGAGTTGCTGGGATTACAGATATGAGCCACTCTGCCTGGTTTATTATTATGATTTTATTTATTATTGCCATTACTTAGTTATTCAGATGCATGTATGGAATTCCAGCAGTTGGTGACCCGAGGGACAAATATCTGGGTTAGACCAAGGCGGGCATCACCAGATAGTAGCTGTATGGGAGGACCCTGAGCCCAGACCTCTGAGCTTTTATCCATCAATGGAGAATCATCGCTGTCCTTCCCTTAGGGGTGGTGCCCCTTCAGTGCCCTGTACATATGCTATGTGAATTAATAGGTACTGTGTTCATTCTAAACAGATGTACAGTGACAAGCCCCTTAGCTCCTCACCAGCAGGCACTACTATCATTACTGTCCTTATCTTGCCTGAGACCTATACACCTATTCCCCTCTGTGTTACCATAAATAATGACATAGTCACAGACACCTCCACCTCTTTTGTTTTTTTTTTTGTTTGTTTTTTGTTTTTTGTTTTTTGAGACAGAGTGTCACTATGTCACCCTCGGTAGAGTGCCTTGGTGTCACAGCTTACAGCAACCTCAAACTCTTGGGCTTAAGTGATTCTTGCCAGACTCTTGCCTTAAGCGACTCTTGCCTCAGCCCCCCAAGTAGCTGGGACTACAGGCACCTGCCACAATGCCCAGCTATTTTTTTGTTGCAGTTGTCATTGTTGTTTAGCTGGCCCAGGCCAGGTTTGAACCCAGCTCTGGTGTATGTGGTTGGCGCCCTAGCCGCTGAGTTACAGGCCCAAGCTACCTCCACCTCCACCTCTGTTTTTTTTTTTTTTTGCTCAGAATATTTTCTGAAGTGTGGTCTCTGCAGCACAGGGTCCTTTCTCACTGTCTTCTGTAGCTTCATAGCAGTCCCTGAACACATGGACCCTGGACTGCTCAACCCCTCTCTTTTGCAGGCAGATTTCTTTCGTTTTTCTTTCTTTTTCGAGACAGAGTATCACTATGTCACCCTTGGTAGAATGCTGTGGCATCACAGCTCACAGCAACCTCCAGCTCTTGAGCTTAGGCGATTCTCTTGTCTCAGCCTCCCGAGTAGCTGGGACTACAGGCGCCCACCACAACACCCAGCGATTTTTTATTGCAGTTTGCCAGGGCTGAGTTCTAACCTGCCACCCTCAGTATATGGGACTGGCGCTCTACTCACTGAGCCACAGGCGCCACCCCAAGATTTCTTTCTTTCTTCCTTTTCTTCCTTTGGGACAGAGTCTCATTTTGTCACCCTGGATAGAGTGCTGTGGCATCATCATAGCTCATAGCAACTTCAAACTCTTGGGCTTAGGTGATCCTCTTGCCTTAGCCTCCCAAGTAGCTGTGACTATAGGTGCCTGCCACAATGTCTGGCTATTCTTAAAGATGGGCTCCAACGTCCGGCTAATTTTAGAGGTGGGGTCTCGCTCTTGCTCAGGCTCGTCTCAAACTCCTAAGCTGAAACAATCCACCTACCCCGGCCTCCCAGAGTGCTAGGATTATAGGCATGTGCCACCACACACGGCCTTGCAGGCAGGTTTCTAATTGTCCTTGTCAACAAAAGGCTGCAGTTAGTGGTATCATTATGTTACATATGTACGGGTTCCTCTGTGTGATTCCTGTGAAATCCCTGTTATGGGCTTAGGTTAGCAATACATGTACCTAATACAGGTATATCCATCCTTAGCCACCATCCTGACTTCCCCAGCCTGGGTTGGCCTTACAAGTAGCAAAAGTAGGGTTCAGATATTCCTCTTCTCTGCTTTCTGATGGCTTCTGGGATGGCTGGAGGGCCTTAGTGACATTCCTAGAGTCATTGCTTCATTCATGGGCTGGGGAGAAAGTAGCAACATCAGAGCAGGGCCCTGCACTTTTGGAAGACATATTTCTTGAGAGGATAGGTTCAAAACTAGCCACAGTCAGGTGATGAGTAGAGGTGGAGGCTGTGAGGAGAGCTGGCACAGAACAGGAAACACCTAAAAGAAGCCACCCAGGGGCGTAAAGAGGGAAGTCACTGTCCCTGGGAGGGACCTCCAGAAGAGGAACCTGAGGCTTCTGGAAAGGGGGATGGGAAAGGAAGTAAAACCTGCCTGCAGGTGGTGGGTGCTTCTTGTGGCATTGTAGGCAGGAAGTCAAGCTGGCCTCTTGGGAGCCTGACGGGGGTTGGTTTCTTCAAACTCAGTCACATCCTAGGCCAGCCATGGCCTGTCCCCTCTTTTGCCTGTGAGTTGAACACTCTGGGATGCTGTAGCAGACTAAAGGCACGTTGGCACAAGCCCCCACCCTCTGAGACCTGTGCCCCACAAAGAGGGGTTCCTATACCCAAAGGTGACCCCAACAGACCCATGCCACTGATGCTTACTTCATGCCTGTTTTCTAGCTTAATGGACATTTTGTAAATTCTTTTCTATGTAGGACAGATAGCTACCAAACTGTTTCTCACTTTTCACGCATCAGCTACTTTTTATGCCTTTTGTTTTCATTCATGTTTTCCTCTTTCTTCTGTAATAGTGAAAAGTACACAATCAAGCCCAAATCTAGTGAATGTCCCCTTTACCTGCTTTCCATTATGGGAACTCCCTTGCCCAGAGGTGGCATTGTCACCACTTCTCTGGGCCTTCTCCTAGTGACACTCAAGGCCTGAAGAGGCAGACATGTCTGTATAGCCCTCTTGCTACCATGTCTCCCTCCACCTCTTTTTTCCTTTTTAATTCTTTTTCTCTTCCTTTTGGTCTTTTTTTTTTCTTCATTTCTTTTTCCTTCCCTGTTCTTTTTCTCCCTCTGTCTTTCCCTTTCTCCCTCCTTTCCTTCTCTCACCCTCAGCAATAACATCTTGCCACCTGTCCCACATCTGGTTTCTTCTCTAGCAATGTTATCCTTTTTGGAGACAGAGTCTCACTTTGTCACCCTCAGTAGAGTGCTGTGATGTCACAGCTTACAGCAACCTCCAACTCTTGGCTTAGGTGATTCTTGTATCTCAGCCTCCAGAGTAGCTGGGACTATAGGCGCCCACCACAATGCCCAGTTATTTTTTTTGTTGTTGCAGTTTGGCCAGGGCCAGGTTTTAACTCACTACCATCGGTATACTGGGCTAGCGCCCTACTCACTGAGTCACAGGAGCTGCCCTTCTTTTTTTTGTTTTTGGAGACAGTGTATCACTACGTCGCCCTCAGTAGCATGCTGTGTTATAACAGCTCACAGCAACCTTAAACTCTTGGGCTTAAGTGATTCTCTTGCCTTAGTCTCCCAAGTAGCTGGGACTATAGGCACCTGACACAATGCCCTGCTATTTTTTTTTTTTTTTTAAGACAGAGCCTCAAGCTGTCACCCTGGGTAGAGTGCCCTGTAGTGTCACAGCTCACAGCAACCTCCAACTCCTGGGCTCAAGCGATTTTCCTGCCACCACCTCCTAAGTAGCTGGGACTATAGGCCCTCACCACAACGCTGGGCTATTTTTTGGTTGCAGCCAACATTGTTGTTTGGTGGGCCGGACTGGATTTGAACCCGCCGGCTTAGGTGTATGTGCCTGGCACCCTAGCCGCTTGAGCCACAGGCGCTGAGCCACGCCTGGCTATTTTTTATTGCAGTTGTCATTCTTATTTAGCTGGTCTGGGCCAGATTTGAACCCGTTAGCCTCAGTGTATGTGGCTAGCTCAGTACCCATTGTACTACGGGCACTGAGCCATGAGCCATCTTTGTGCCTCAGCCTCCCAAGTATCTGGGACTACCGGTGCCTGCCACAATGCCTGGCTAACATTTTCTATTTTTTAGTAGACACAAGGTCTCACTGTTACTCAGGCTGGTTTCAAATTCCTGACCGAAAATAATCCTCATGGCCTCCCAGAGTGCTGGGATTGCAGGTTGAACCACTGCACTTGCCTTCTAACAGTATATCTTCGGGATCATTCTCTATCCTTTCATGCTGTCCTGACTCTTTTTAAAATTAGTCAACAGGTGAGTACTCTTCCTTTCTTTCTTTAGGATGCCATGCCATTCTCTCATTCTTGTTCTCTTTCCCACCATTTCCCTTCTCTCTCTCCCTGCTTTCTACTCTGTCTCTGTCTCATCTCTTTGCCTCACTCTTTTCCTTCTCTTTAATATAAAACAAACTTATGCTTTTATATCCTAATCTTGGCCTAGAGAAATTCTTTTCTTGTCCTACACTTAGCACCAACTAAAAATATATTTTAAAGGCCAGGCGCAGTGGCTCACGCCTGTAATCCTAGCACTCTGGGAGGCTGAAGCAGGTAGATTTCATAAGCTCACAGGTTCGAGACCAGCCTGAACAAGAGTGAGACCCCCCCCATCTCCAAAAATAGTCGGGCATTGTGGCAGTCGCCTGTAGTCCCAGCTATTTGGGAGTCTGAGGCTAGAGAATCGCTTGAACCCAAGAGTTTGAGGTTGCTATGAGTTGTGACGCCACAGCACTCTACTGAGGGCGACAAAGTGAGACACTGTCTTAAAAAATAAAATAAAAGTATATTTAAAAAGAAAATTAGTGAATAGGGGAGGCACCTGTGGCTCAAAGGAGTAGGGCGCTGGCCCCATATACTGGAGGTGACAGGTTCAAACCCGCCCCCTGGCCAAAAACTGCAAAAAAAAATTAGTGAATAATTTTTTTTTTTTCTTGAAACTAAGTTACACTTTGTCGCCCTCAGAGTGTGGTGGCATCATAGCTTACAGCAACTTGAAATCTTAGGCTCAAGAGATCCTCTTAAGGAGCGGCACCTGTGGCTCAAAATAATAGGGCACTGGTCCCATATGCCGGAGGTGGCGGGTTTAAACCCAGCCCCAGCCAAAAACGGCAAAAAAAAAAAAAAAAGAAGAGAGAGATCCTCTTGCCTCAGCCTCCCAAGTAGCTGAGACTACAGGTGCCTGCCATGACACCTGGCTAGTTTTTAGAGAGGGCGTCTTATGCTTGCTTAGGCCGGTCTCCAATTTCTGAGCTCAAGCAATCCACCTGCCTCAGCCTCCCAGAGTGCTGGGATTACAGATTTGAGCCACTGCACCTGGTTGTGAACAACATTTTTAGAAAGAACCAAAAATTGAAATAAAAAAAAATCAAATCTGGGGTGGCACCCATGGCTCAGTGGGTAGGGCACCGGTTCCATATACTGAGAGTGGCGGGTTCAGACCCGGCCCTGGCCAAACTGCAACAACAAAAAAAATAGCCAGGCGTTGTGGCGGGCGCCTGTAGTCTCAGCTACTCAGGAGGCTAAGGCAAGAGAATCGCCTAAGTCCAGGAGTTGGAGGTTGCTGTGAACACCATGGCACTCTACCATGGGTGATAAAGTGAAACTCTGTCTCTACCAAAAAAAAAAAAAAAATCAAATCTGTTTCAGGATCAGGAAGGAAAACAAAATAAATAAAATGTGCAAACAATGACCAGATTCTCATTGTGCAAAAGCAGAGCAATTGAGCAATAAGCGAATGGGGTGCAGAGTCTTCTTCCAGCCCATCTGCTGCATTAGGCCCATTTTATTCACATTAGTTTTCTTTGAATTTCTCAACTCTGTGTTGAGAAACTCTGGCAAATGCAGCCAGCAACTGGTATGGAAATATATTCTTAGTTGCTCCTTTCCTTGTACACAAGAGAGCCCATCCTCTGTGCATTTTGCACCTTCTCAGGGAGATCTTTCCATCTTGGGTGTCTAGGGCCTGTCCCTTTGTGTGCATGTGGATCCAGTGTCCCATGGTTTAGATAGACCTGGACCAACCTCTGTCTGTTGGTCCTCCCTTCCGTGAGCCCTACAGTGGCTTCCTGGGCTTTTTTCTGAGTGCTGCTTAAAGAGTACTGTTCTAGATTACCAGATGTGTCTGGCTGCCTCGTCCTTGCTAGGAGCAGCACATCCTGTATTGTGTGGTCACACTGTCTGTTCTGCCCAGTGCCCAACATGGTCTCCTGTGCTCTTCGTGGTGTCTCACTCTTGAGGCCAGCGCCATGCCACTTCACCCTGCCCTGGATGCATGTGTATCTGTAGCTGGCTGTTCCATTGCTCTCTGTGGTGGGCTCTGGGTGGCATTGTTTCTGCAGGAGTGTGCCTGGCCTTTTGTAGCCTCCTGCCTGTGGCACACTCTCATCTCTGGCCTCTCTCCTGCAGCAACTGACCAACCACATCCGGGAGTCACTGCCAGCCCTGCGCAGCAAGCTGCAGAGCCAGCTGCTGTCCCTGGAGAAGGAGGTTGAGGAGTACAAGAACTTCCGGCCTGATGACCCCACCCGCAAAACTAAAGCCCTGTTGCAGTACGTGTGCCTCTTCCCTTCCCCCCAAGCCTGGCATCCAGGCCTCTGTTTCCAACCAGCCACTGGTTTCCTAGCCTGGGCCACAGTCATCACTTGACCCATTCGTTCAGTAAACATTTGTCTGGAGCCTCTTGTGGACCAGGCCTTGTGCTAAGCACTGGGTCACTGCAGTATATGGGCTAATGTCCATGCCTGCCTCACAGGGTGCTCAGGGAGTAGGGAGAAAAGTGACAGAAAATAAGTAAGGAAATGTTTAGGTACTCAATGGCTAAATACTGGCCCAGGGAAAGGCTTTGATCAAGATAGGGTGGGGTGGTCAGGGATGGCTCCCTGGGCCGGGAGTTAGGCAGAGACCTAGAGAAAGGGAGGGTAGCAGCCACATGGAGTCCTGCAGGATGAGGCCTGGTCAGTACACAGGCCCTGGGCTGGAATGGAGTGCAGTGCAGTGGGTGTGGGGACAGTAGGAGGAGGTAATGGTGCAGGTTGAGCTGGGCCTTGTTGGGCATAAGGAGGATACTGGATTTTATTCTGAGGTGGGAACCATTGAAGGTTCTGGGCAGAGGAGTTGTTTGGACTTAGGTGCTCACAAGCTCTTCTGTCTGTTATGGGAGACAGGGTGGGAGCCAGTCCCTGGTTTCTATCCTGTTTGGTCCCGTGGAATGCCCACCATGACTGTGAAGTGATCCAGCTGCTCCCTGCTCAAGAGCACTTCCTGGTTTCTGGCCTATAAGGGACACTGGGGCATTAGAATGGCCAAGCAAGAATAGGGTGATCTGGCTTGGCGCCTGTGGCTCAAGTCGCTAAGGCGCCAGCCACATACACCTAAGGTGGCGGGTTCGAATCCAGCCCAGACCCGCCAAACAACAATGACGACTGTAACCAAAAAATAGCCGGGCGTTGTGGCGGGTGTCTGTGGTCCCAGCTACTTGGGAGGCTGAGTCAGGAGACTCGCTTGAG